CGCACCGGCGACAGATCATTCGAATGCCCTATCAACTTTCCGGGAGTGTATATAAAAGACAAATAGATCTTATATACACACCGGGAGTGTATATAAAAGACAAATAGATTTTATATACACTCCCGGAGTGTATATAAAAGACAAATAGATTTTATATACACTCCCGGAGTGTATATAAAAGACAAATAGATTTTATATACACTCCCGGAGTGTATATAAAAGACAAATAGATTTTATATACACTCCGGGAGTGTATATAGCCACGTTCTTGTACATTTCTTCATCACTCAGGTGTCAGATCATGGAACAAGAAAAAGTCGATCAGCTCGAAAAATGTATGTCCCTTGCAGGGGTCCACACACACAAAAAAAGGCTAGGGTCGGCAGTTTTTTCTCTGGTTGGTCGGGAAACGGAAAACACAATTTTTTTTTTCTAGGCCTGACAGCGTGCCATCAATTATGAATGGCAGTTGGTACCGTGCACTGAATAATTAACAGCTAAACCTACTTAAACACCTTCAATAATTCAAGTCCGTAACCTTACCTTTGTAGTAAGTCAAGGTAAAGCTTAATGTCAGCTCATCTATGGTTAATATCACTTTTCTTTTTTGCTAACTTTCAATGTCATATCATCAATATCAGCTTCTTTGGAGACACTCGTATCTTTCACATGAGGTGGGATATAATTAACGTTACTAACTTAGTCTATTTTGTTGGGCATCAATAAACTGTAGTCATTATCCCTTCAAAATAGATTTAAAATCTGGTAAACGATTAGGTCTTTCAAATTGATGAACTGTAAACTGGCACCTCACTGGGTCAACCATATGTGCATGTGGTCGAAGATTTTATTGGAAGATATTCACAGTTTTTTAAGCATGCTTGTATGGAACAAGGATGTTGCATTTTCTTTTTTATCTTCCTGAATATTGTTCTACATTTGAAAGGGTTAAGTAACTTACTATGTAAAGAAAAGGCTGGAAAATATACTTTTTGTATTGTCCAGTCACAATATTTACTGTGGGTATCTATGTAATGTTATACACACAATCATAGGTATCTATGTATGACAACACTACAAAACCTAAAGTATATAGGTTGTAGTTTTGATGATTATGAGGAAATGAAAAAGATCTGTATCCTTTTGCACAGCTCTTCATTATAAAGGGGGCCTACATGCCTTTAAATTTGTAATGATTTTCAGACATGTTTTTTTCGTGACATGATAACTTCTGTTCTTAAATTCTCTTACAGAGTATGCCTCAGTATAAAACACTTAATGGGTCCCCCATTTACTGTCACAAATGGAATAACCCGTATACTTTTTCTGCAGGAAGTCAGCCCGTCCCACTTCAGGGGCAGGGTCCGGAGCCGAGGGTGCTGAGGATCCGGAAACTTTAGTGGACCCAGGTTCCGCTGATGGCAAGAAGAAGAAAAAGAAGAAAGTGGTGAAGAAGAAACTCACCAAAGCAGAGAAGGCACAGGTGAGTTACTGATGACAGCCACAACCACTTTACATATGACCATCCTGTCATGACTTTGTTATTGCCTTTGTCATCCTCAACTGAGGTGAAGCATTATTCATTTTGACATGCACCCAGACGTTGTGCCCTTGGGAAAGGCACTTAACAGGTATTTCCCCCCTCAGTTAAGAGGGATCCTGGGCCCTACCAGGGTTTGGATTGGCATTAGGAAGGGCATCCAGCCGTAAAAATTTTGCTCCAAAAAAAAAAAGACTTGCTTGTCTAATCCCAGTTTCAGGGAAAAAAGACATTAAAATTGGATTTTAAAAAAAGTATAGTGTAGTTTAATTTTAGATCATCAAAAAAACTTTGGTGGTAATGGGGCCACGGTGGGTGGCAAATTTTGACAAATTTTGTGAACAAAAGAGCTACATGTATGTACGACATTTGTTATCTAAAAAGCTATGGAACCAGGCTTTAACTTCACTTCTTGTTACATTTATCATTAAGAATGTTAGCATTTCTCTTAGAGATATTTTAATGTGATGTAAACATATCATATCAACAACATCTTCCGTTGTATTGGTAAACAGGAGAAGTTGGAGAAAGAGTGCAGTGACTACAAGGCCAATGACCAGCTGTATGAAGCCTATGTGGACCGTATGGACAGGTGGTTACGAACAAATTACGGGCGTTCCATCGACCTGTTCCGCAAATTTGACACCAACGGAGATGGAGTGGTATCCTATGAGGAGTTCAAATCAGGTACACTACAAAACTGAAACTCTTGTAAGAGGTTTCATGCAGATTGTTACCAAATTTGTTTTACTAGTCTTCTGCACTGTATGGTGGTGTTAAGTTTTCTTATCAAAATCTAACATCTGTGTCCATAATATCACCAGTGTCCATAATATCGCCACCTTGAGAAACAGTGTGCTTAAAGGTATTTTTACTGCAACATACCCTGGGTATGTACATTTGATGTGTGAAAGAGTGCATACCAAAAGTATGTTGCAGTAAAAATATCTTTAAGCACAGTATTTCTCAAGGTGGCGATATTATGGACCCTGGTGATATTATGGACATAGATGTATAATATATCCAGCTGCTTGAGTAACTGTTTTCTGGTGTATAGTTGGGCAGGGTTTTGTATTACATAATCCCTTCTTAATTTTATTGAATGTCAGGTAATAGCATAGCCATCTACCTCTTACAAGTTACACTTTTTGTGTTGCATCTTTTCACAAGGTATGACAGACCTGGGTGCCCCTTGCACAGCATTGGAGCTGCACCTTCTCTGTAAACTGTTAGACCGGGATGGTGATGAAACCATCGACTACCTCGAGTTTTCTAGAGGAATCAGATATGTCAGGTCAGTAGTACACATCAAGGAGTTCTTAAATCTATTAAGCTACAATGTAAAGAACATCTAATAGTGTAGCCTGGTCATGAAGTGTTTGGTAACCATTATAGCTCCCTAGTCCTACAGCCTCTCCGCTATTTTCAGAGAGGCTGTAGGACTCAGGAGCTATAATAGGTTTGGCAACCAGGCTACTAATAGTGTAGTGTTTCTTGAAGCAGTGTTGTTGAAAAATGCATTGTCAGTTTTTTGTTGTCATCTAGTATAGTTTGAATGTGTTTCACAGCCAATTCTTGCAGATCTGTCAAAATTGTTACATGCAAAGTGTAAGTTATCCCAGCATTGAATGATGATGATGATCTGGAATATCTTGACCAATCAGGGAGTCCGATCAAGATGATGATGAGGAAGAGGAGGAGGATGACCTCCCCAGACTGGTCATCACCCGGGAGACACTGGACAGCTGCCCTCTGGCCTGCTGCAAGATGGGACATTGGAAAGGACCTTACAGGGAAAAGAACCCAAAGTCAGTGTCTCTGCCATTTCAGTACAGCTTGTGGGAATATGCCTTTTATATGACGAATATAATACCCATTATGACCACAAAGTGTACTAAATTCTTTGAATACATACAAGATGCAGTAACACATCCCCACCTTTGTGGCTTTTGATGTACTTGTAGGTTCAGAAGGGGTTGATGTCTTCAGGCAGGTGACCAGTGACCACAAAGTGTACTAAATACTTCTACCTTTAGGCCACACAAATTTAATTTCTTGGTAACGGATTTTTCTAGAAAAATAATGGAGTGGGCGGGCAAAAAAAAAAAAATAGAAACAGGCCTAGGGATCCTATTATGGCCCAAAATGGTACAATAGGAGCCATGAAGTCAGCACACCAGGCTGGTTCAAAATTTAAACAATGAATTTTTTTATAATTCTTTTAATTATACCACTGCATTGAAACATGGAATAACTGTAACAACTAGGAAGAAAAGGACTGTTTTCACCTGTTCATGGCAAAATATGAGCATTTTGCAGTTTAATTTTTCTTTTTTTTTTCCAATCAGGAAAAAATGAAGAGGGCAAATCCGTTAACCAAGAAATTGAATTGGTGTGGCCTTAGCTCAATTTAAGAAAACTTTTCACAAAGTGTTTTGGGCTGGAAATTTTGAATTTAAGGGTTTGGTACATTGTCTACAGGTACATAGACCTGGAGCTACGTTTGGTGACATTTGACAAGATGAAGAACCACCCTGGTCACTTCAACATCACTGTCCACGCCCACCTGACCATATTTGGGGTGATCCAGATCATCAAAGAAGAGACTGACATTGCAACAACCAGGCTGAAGGTTTTCAGGGATGACACCAGAACTCAGGTGTGTAAGGTTATCAAATATTAAGTGATAGAAAGGTCAGCATACACTTTGTATAAATAGGTATGACACTAGGTATTAAACCGTACAATACAAAGTGTATGTAAACTTTTTAATGTAGAATTGCTTCTGTTACAGTGTCAGTCTAGTGGCTTAATACAGTAGTGTCCCTACCTCTGGATGAAGAGTTTGGGAGTTCGAATCCTGGCTGTTGTTGTTTGACATGCATGCTACTCGAAATTGTTGCAGTCCTTATGATGGGATGTTAAAGCTGTGGTCCACTGTTCAAATGTACATGCACTTGTTAAAAACAGCTAGGGGAATTTCCCCAGTACAATGAACCTATAGATACGGTATGCACTGACTTCCTTTCCCGTCATGACCAATGAGCTATAAAAATTGGACATTCGTCCATTTTATTACTTTTATTACTCCGTGAAGGAGGTATACCTCTTGCAGGAGTATTGTGGTCAGACGGTTTTTCGTGTTTGCAGCTAAAACACAGGGTTCCCTTTGAATGTAATTTTATATGTTGTCTGCAGGCATGCCTGTGATGATGCACATATTTTTATTTTACTGTAGCTGTTTTCATGGTCAAGGTAATATTTCAGATGCACCCCTACATTTATTAGGCAAATTGGAATGGCCTATGGTTTTGAATAGCGGGGCTGGCTGCCTATGGACACTTTTTTGACAGAAAATTGATGTACAGCATGTTTTCCCTCCCTAGGAAGCGTTGCTGTTCCCAGACATGACTCTTGCAGAGTGCGGGTATGAGGGTGACAGCAGACAGAACCCAGAGGAGGTCACACTGTACTATGACTACGGTGTGGAGTTTAACGACTGCCCTCTGCTGCTGTGTGACTACTACTTTGACTAGCATTTACATGTACTTAGCATGTAGCATTTACTTAGCATGTAGCATTTATAGCATGTAGCATTTACTTAGCATGTAGCATTTACTTAGCATGTAGCATTTACTTAGCATGTAGCATTTACTTAGCATGTAGCATTTACTTAGCATGTAGCATTTACTAAAGCATGTAGCATTTACTTAGCATGTAGCATTTACTTAGCATGTAGCATTTACTTAGCATGTAGCATGACAGTCATGGATAGCTTCCTAGACTGAGAGGTATAATGGTAATTTGAGACATGAGATATCAGAATATGCATTCATATCAATTTAATATTCATATTAGAAAAAAGATGTTATATCAATATCAATGTTATATGAATGGAAACTATTAGTAGCGACAGCTTGTGGAAGATGTAAGACGAATAGCTTTGGTAAAGTTTGATACAATTTGTAATTTAGCATGCTAAAATTTTTGAGTAACAACTGAGAGACTTATGCAGTGTGGTATCAATTGACAGTCCAAGCTCAAGAGTAAATGTTAACTTGATTGTAGATCAAGTTGTCTACAATTGATGTAAATAGCACTGTTGCAACTAAGACTAATTTAAGATAAGTGTATCTATGTGTATTTGATGTGTTGTATGTATTTGTGCTAGATATGTTGGATGTGTATTGTTAAGTAGATGGTAGCTGAGTGTGTAGTAGAACTATTTGTCTTTGAAAATAATACTTCTCTGTGCAATTATCATCTACTTTATTTGTATAATACAGTATTTGCTGTTTGCTGGATCTCAGATACCTGCATCCTTCAGATATACTGGGAAGTTGACATTGCTTTTTTATATGAAAATTAGATACTAGTATCTGGATGTCCTTGCTTACCCCCACCCAGTACCCCCTTAAATTTACATTGACTAGTGGCCAAGTGAGCATGGCTTCCATAGATGCATTGGTACAGGAGTTTTTGCATCTCACCAAAGTCCATAAGAGTTCATTATTCAATTCTGTCTTAATAATAGATTTTGTACGTGCTTGGAAAGTATACCTACTATGCAATGCATATTAGATTTTGTAAGAAAAGTGATGATACATGTAAGATTGTACATGTATGTTTCCAGAGTGTTTTGATTAATCAGACAGATGATCATAAAGACAACATGAATACAAGCATCAATAAATATATTTCTAATTGTGGCTGGAGAAGTTTTTTTCATGACCCAAATTGCTTTTAATTAAAGGCACAGTTAGCAGATAACTGAAGTTAGACAGGGCATTGGTTGATTGTTTAGTCACCCTTATGTCGTTAGTGACACATAAGGGAGCAAGTTATCCCTTAGTCTGAGACATCATTCAATGTTATCCAAACTACATGAGATTATCAAACTTCTAGACTCCCCCCACTCATGGTCTTTAGCGTTGACATCTAGTGTCTTGTGCGAATGGTTTGAATAGCTGTATTTTGTGTTGTTTGTTCAAGTCAGTTTTGTTCGAGAACCACCTGTTGCTACATAATAGAGCGAGCCAAAGTCACGTTTCTATGCTTTTTAAAACAAAACTCATACCTTTGCATAACGCAGACGATTTACGATTTCTAACGATTTACTTTATTCCAGCATGGTAAAAATCACATGTGATTCCAGTAAGATCCAGTAAGGGTCCCTCTACATGTACCATCAAGGTGCATTGCCTCAGGCCCCAATCAGAGGCCGCCTAGCGGCACGTGATATAAACAGAACACGTGTTCCCATATGTAAATGTTAACCTATTTTTGCCCTTACGTAACTATGTGGGTCAGGCCGGGTCGTAGTTGTGGGCGTGCCATTCATATAATAGTCTGCAAATGGACCGTGAGTTGAATACGTTTGCCACTTTCTCGTCAGTTTTGCCGTTAGGGTTACCCGTGATAGTACACGTACGTCTGGAGGACAGCCATGGCGCGGCAGCTGCTCAGCAAACCCGCCGTCTGCTCACTAGCCCTGTCCAACTCGCGAGCCCTGGCCTCCGTCGCGCCAGCTCAGACAGCAACAGTTCATCAGAACAAGGACAAGTCGCTCAAGGACATGCCCGGAACGACCAGCAAACTGGCGCAGCTGTGGTGGGGGTACAAGAACAGGTCTCGAATGCACGAAGCTCAGGTAGGAGACCGTTGTCGTTGGGTTAGCCTCTAATCACTATGGCCGATATAAAGGATCATAAAGGTAAATGCACTACTAACGTTACATGTAGTAAATCGCGCTCCTAGCGGCTGACCCTACTGACCGGCCCCCTAACGCAGGCTAGGGGTACATTATAAGGTAACTCAGCCATATGATTTGGGAAGTACTACCCCTCCCACCTTCAGAGGCTGACTCAGCATTTCAAACGCTGATTAGTTATCGCTGCACTTTTGAACTTCGCCGGTATAGTCGTGACATTGATTTTGTGGTAGGACAACGGGTATTGTTCAGCGCGGCTTGTATCCTAGGATACGCAAGGTCGTCATTGAATCAATTACTGGTTCAGTCGCCCTGAACGGGACAGGAGTGATCGAATGTCCTTGTGTGTGTGTGTGTTTGTGTGTGTGTGTGTTTTGTGTGTGTGTGTGTGTGTGTGTGTGTGTGTGTGTGTGTGTGTGTGTGTCGTGTGT